TAAAAAAAAAAAAAAAAAAAAAAAAAAAAAAGATGAATTTAATTTTCTTATATTTGTAATTAATTTCACTTATCCATATAAGTTTTAAATAAAATAAATAAAACAAAAAGTTTCTAATTATTTATATGTATATATGAAATGTGTAGATTTTTTAAGTATACTCCAAGTATTTGAAAAGAAAAATAAAACACGTTATATGTACATATTTCTTTTGCTTAATTGAAAAATTGTCAATTAGAAAAAAAAAAAAAAAAAAAAAAGCTTAATTACATGAAAAATTTACATAATTCCTAATTTTAATTTTCTTTACTGAATTAGATTTTATTATTATTTTCTATACCTTTTTTTTTGGTTTTTTTATAAATATTGTATCATTAATTTACTAGTTATTTGTAAGAATATATTATAATATAAAAGGAATAAAAGAGATGGAATATAACAAAAAAAATGAAAATGAACAAAATACAGTTAATTCAGAAAAAAATAAAAATGAAACAAAGGAAAAGAATTTAAGAAATTTTGAAAACACATTGTAAGTTATATAAAAAAATATTATATTAAAATATTTACGAATCATTTTACTAAATGAACAAATAAATATTAAGTGAAATATATTTATATATTTTTTTAAATTTGACTGACTAATAATAATATATTTTTGTGTTATATTTTTGTAAAAAAAAAAAAAGAAAAGAAAAATATTACACTATATTTTAATAACTTTTAAAAAAGTTATTTTAATGATTAAATATATATATATATATTAATAAAAATACACATAAATAATAAATATATCATTTTAAATTGTATTAAAATTTAAAAAAAAAAAAATTTTTCAGCATTTATGATTGGAAGAAAGCTTTAAAACGAGTAGAAGAAGGTAGAAAATGTTGTGAACATTTAAGCAAAATATTTGTTGAAATTATTCGTATAGAAAAAGAATATGAAAGTAATTTAAGAAGTTTATGTAATATATTTAAAGAATTTAACAGTGAATCGTCAGGTATTAAAAGTGGAATTATTAGTTTAAAAAAAAATATTGAAAGGAGATGTGAACAAATTAAAGATTTTGTTAATTACATTGAATGTGAAATATTAAATAACACATTAAATACCACTTTAGTTAATCATAAAAATGTCTTTGATCAAATAAAAATTGATGGTATTGAAAATGAAAAAATAGTAGAAAAAACAAAAAAAGAAAGTGTAAAATATATTGAAAATTGTGTAAATGCATATGAAGAATTAATGGAGTCTATTAATGTTTTTCATAACAGTGCATATTATCATCCTATAAAAAGAATAGAATTATCAAATGTGTGTATAAATAAATACCTAGTAGCTAAAAAGAAAGAATATGAATATAAAAACACAATAAATATTATAAATGAAGTTGAATTAAAAAAAGAAAAAAGATTGAAAAGTATTTTATATTCACTTGAATCAATGGATTATAAAAGAATTTCATGTATAAAAGATAACATTATGAAATATTTAATTTTTTTTACCTCATATATAAGAAATGTTCAATATGATCTTAATAACTGCATAGATATATTCAAAGATATTAATCCATATGGAGAAATAGAAGAATATTGTCTATCTTATAATAAAAAATTTAAAAATGAAATTGAAGATATAATATTTTTTAATAATATAGTCTCATGGCCTATGTTAATTGATTACCTAAATGAATTAAATTATGTCAAAAAAAATGGCTCTCTTAATAATTATGAAGATATTTCAATAGATAATGATTATTTAAATAATACCAAAAATAAATATAGAAATTTAATTTCTACATTTTTTAATGTTGATGTTTACAAAAACTTTATTCAAAATAATAGTAAAAAGAGTGCACAAAATTTTAATAGTATATACACAAACATTTTTAATGAAATTATTTTTTTTAATAAAAAAGAAAGTAATGATGATGATTTTAAAGGAGAAAATGAAGACAATATATCATTGCATGAAGAAAATGAAGGTAATTGTTTAAATTTATATGAAGAAATTGAAAAAGAACATGAAAATTATTATAATGATAAAGAGTTTCGTAAAAGAGAAAATATAATAATGAATGATGGTAAAGATGTAATAATGAATGAAAGGAAAGATATAATAATGAATGAAAGCAAAGATATAATAATGAATGAAAGTAAAGATGTAATAATGAATGAAAGAAAAGATATAATAATGAATGAAAGAAAAGATATAATAATGAATGAAAGTAAAGATATAATAATGAATGAAAGTAAAGATATAATAATGAATAAAAGTAAAGATATAATAATGAATGAAAGCAAAAATTTTGAACTGGATGATATAGATACTCATAAACAAGGGAATTTGTTTATGAATACCGATAGAAATATAAATGAATATATTAACGTAGAAAAAAAATTATATACGGATGTAAATTTTGAGAGAAAAGAAAAAGTATGTGAAGAAAATGATACATCTATTAAATATAATTCGTTAAATAAAAGTGATATAGATGAAAAAGGTAAAATAAATGAAAATGAACAGGATAACTTAAATAATATATATGAAAATTCTGGAAAAGAATTTATTAAAAGTGAATGTAATAGAAAAAATAAATATATAGAGGAAAAAAAAAAAAATGAAAATATCAATTTTAGTACTGAGAACAATGATAATAGTAGTAATATTGATTCAAAAGGTTATAAATACGATTGCTTTAGTGGTAATACAGATGATGAATCTGATTATAGCTATTCTTTAATAAAAAACCTACATGAGAAAAAAAAAAAAGATAGCTCAAGTAGTGTTAGCAGTGAAAAAAATAATTTTGATGGTTTATTAGGTAATGTGAATAATAATTTAAAAAAAATGGGAATTTTTTTTCATTTCTATTTAAAAAATTTATTTATGGGTAATTTTGATAAGATATCAGAATTTAACATTACAAAATATTTTAATGTGTATAATAATAGATTTGTATTTTGCGAATGTTTAATAGATTTAATTAAAAAGAAAAGAATAAATTTTATTTTTCTTAAGAGTATAGTTTTACTTGCAAAAATAATCTTAATATTTTTAGACTACTGTAATTTATACGTAGATTACTGGTCATCCATTTATATTTTGATTGCAGCAGAAAATTTTTATTTTGAAATTGAAAATGATAACACTATTAATGTGAATTTATTATTGCAAAAGTATTCTCTTTTTGAAAAAAAAAAAAATTCCTTATCAAATAAAAATATAGATATATTAAACAATAAAAAAACTAGTGATATGAATTTAATAAAAAATACAAAAGAAAAATATTTTTCTGATGAAAATGGAAACTCTAAAAATATTTCTTTTAATACAAAGAATGTAAAAATATTTTCTAAAGTTAATCAAATGTATCCAAAAAGTAAGAGTGTTATAAATATATATGAATGTAATAAAAATGAAAAAAATGAACTAAATAACGAAAGTGATGTAAATTTAAATGATTTTAATTTAAATAATAGAAACAAAAATTGCATAAAAGAAGTAAGTGAAAAATATATAAATGAGAATGTAAATATAAATAGTACATATGAAAATATGAATGATAGATATATAGAAGATGAAGAAAAAATAAATGTAAATACAAAAAATCCTCTTAATGAAAATGATGAAACTTATAATAAAACTATAAATAACACATTAGAAGAAAACATCAAAAATGAAACAAGTATAAAAAGTGAATATATTAATGATTCAAATGATAGCAAAAAGCAAAAAATATTTTTACATAAATTTTTATATTCACATAACTTTTGGAACAACATAAAATTCTGGGAAGTTAGTTTTTTAGTTATAATATCAGAAATAATACAAGAAATTATTTTATTGGAAAAATTACGCTACGAAAATAAAGAATCATTAATTAAAAAATATTTCTTTTTTTTTAAATATTTTAATTTTTATAATAGTATGATTCATTTCGGTTTATCTATTAATCAAATTGGCTTGTTACTAAATAAAATATTTCATTATTTTAACTTGAAAAATGATCCTATTTCTAGAAAATATTTTTTTCAGATAATTGATATAGCTACTAATAAAAATATTACCTTAAATTATATTAAAATGGATGTAAATAATATAAATACAGAATATAAAAAATATTATCTTCAACATTATAATAACTTTTTGAATGATGAAAATAAAAAAACTATGAGAAAATCTTAAATGAAGAAACATTAAATTTATCAATGGATATATTTTTAATAATTTGAACTTAATTCTATTAAAAATATATATATACATTTCCTTATTCATTTTTCTAGATCAAATAGTTTTCTTTTTAAAAATTTGTATTTACATACTTTAATACTTTTCTTTTTTTCTGTTAAAAATTAATCATATTGTGTATTTATACAACCTACATATATATTTTTTATTTTTTTGTATTCTTTTTAAAGATTTTTTTTTTTTTTTTTTTTAAAACAATTAAAAAATAAGTATAATATAAATTTCCTTTAATTAAAACATTTTAAATTCTTTTTATTATAAAATATATTTATATTAATGCTATTAAATTAGTTATATATATTAAGAAATACTTGTATATATTTACAAAATACTTATATATATATAAATACATATGTATATTTTTTATACATAAAAATAAATTATTTTCTCATTTTCATAGTTACCCTTTTAAATTGTTTATATATCTTTATTTTTTTACTACAAAAAAAGAAAAAAAAAAAAAAAAAAGAAAAAATAAGAAAGAAAAAAAAGTTTATCTTAAAATTCCAAAAAAGGAAAGAAATATATATATCATATAATGTTAATATTAAAATATTTTTGTTTATATTTGCATTTTTTATTCGATTTAATACATTTCTTATTAGAATACCACTATATGTTCTACAATTTTTTTTTTTTTTTTTTTAAGTAAAATAATATAATATAAAAAGATAAGATATCCAATAAATTAAAAATATTAAGTTCCATTATATCTTTAAAGATGAAATAAATAAAAAGCATATATACCCATATCTATCTATCTATCTACATATATATATTACATATATATGTGATATTTAGTTAATCTTAATAAATTAAAAATAATTTTTTGTATACTGAACATGCATTTTTTTTTTTGCCTTAATATAATTGTTTTAGCCTAAATATTGATTAAAAAAAATGTTATTTAAACATATTAAAAATGAAAATAAAAATAACTGTTACATAATAATTAATACAACTTAAAAGAAGCTAAATTATTTTAATTCTTAAAAGAAATATCAGTAAAATATACATATAAAATTTTGTTAAATGCCTTTAAAATATTTATATGCATATGATTTATTTATGCTAATTTTTTAAATATATTTAAATATTTATATTAAAAATTAAATAATAATTCTTTATATTTAGATAAATATATTTATGGGAAAAATGTTTTAAAAAACATTAATTATTTGATCACACTTATAGGTAGCTTAAAAATTTTTTATGTACATATGAAAAAAAAAAAAAAAAAAAAAAAAAAAAAAAAAAAAAAAAAAAAAAAAAAAAAAAATAAATGAACAAATAAAGAAATAAAGAAATAAAGAAATAAAGAAATTACATATATATTTGAAATAGTGACTAATAAAAATAAAAATAAAACTGCCTTGTTAATAAAAAAAGGAAATTTTAAAATTTTAATAACAAAAAAAAAAAAATTTTTAATTTATTAAAAAAAAAAAAAAAAAAAAAAAATTCAAATCCACAATAAAAATTTTTAATTTAAAAAAATAAAATTTCTAAAAGTATTTATTAATATTTTGTGAATATATATATATTCATTTTACACTATAAAAATATAATTGTATAATTTAATTTAATCAAATGTGTGTTTTTGTATTAAGTATTTTATATTATTAAAATATCGATTTTTTTTTTTTTTTAAATTTTTTTTTAGAAATAAAAATAAAAAGGAAAATATTAAATATAGATAAATTTGAGTTTATAAACATATAGATTATATATATATATATATATTTATATATATATATATATTTATTTAAAAAAAAATGTTTTTAAATGTATATGGAAATTAAAAAAAAAAAAATTGACATTTATGAAAAAATAAATATAAATGGATAATTCTGAAAGAGTAAATTTAAATTATATAAATAAAGATCATATTAATGCAGTTACTAATAATTTGAATGAACAAATAAATCTAGATAGAGAAACTAAAAAGCATAGTCATGATAAAATATTTCTTTTAGAAAAAAAAAATAATTCTAAGAATATATATAGTAATATGAAAAACAACGTAGTGAATGACAATATTGATACAGCTCAAAAAAAAAGAGAATTAAATTCTGTTAAGGAGAACAGTATGAACACTGAATTTACTTTAAATAGCAATGATATGTATGTTGAGAATAATTTCGATGTTAAGTTATTAGATAATGAAAATAATTCAAAAGTTACTAACTTTTGTGGTAGTTCTATGAATACAGGTTCATGTGAAGAATATAATAAAAGTTCATTAGATAAATATAAAGTAAATAAATTAAGTAATATAAATGTTGAGAACAAAATAATTAATAAACATAAAAATGCATATACGGAAATGACAAAAAATTCATATGATTATTTCAATAGTAGTAATGAAGAAATTGAGATAAATAATAATAATAATAATATTACATTAACTGATAGTAATGAAGATAGCATAAATAATAACATTAATGGAAGTAACTATAACAGTTGCTTGAGTGAGGACGTGTATAATAATATTAGTGGTATAAATAAAGAAATAAGACGAACAGAAAAAGATTATAAAATTCTTTATGGAAATAATTATGACACAAATAAATCTAAAAATGAATTGAAATGTAATGAGGAAAAAAATGGAGATATAAATAAAATTGTTAGAGAAAATAATGATAATAAAGAGAACAATAAAACTGAAATGAACATTAATAATGATAATGACTTAAGTGATAAAAATAAGTACTCTTATAATAAGGAAATGTTACACGAAGATAACAAATCATTAAGAAATGATTTTAACCATAATAATAACAAAAATAATATTAACGGTGATAACAACAATATTTATAATAGAAAAAATAATAATAACAGTAATAATAATAAGGAAAATAATAACAAAAATAATGATAATATTAATAATAATAACAATACTAATCATACTAATACTAATACTAATAATAATAATAATAATAACAACAATAATAATAACAACAACAACAATAATAATAACAACAACAATAATAATAATAATAATAATGATAATGATGATGATAATAATAATATTAACAATAATAGTAATAATAATAATAATAATAATGATGATGATGATGATGATAATGATGATGATAATGATGTTGATAATGATGATAATAATAATATTAACAATAATAATAATAATGGTAATTCTACTACTACTACTAATAATAGTTATAATAATAATAATAATCATATTAATTATGAGAATAATAATATTAATAATGAGAACAGCGATAACGATAATAACAATAATAATGATATTTTGCAAAATAATAATTTAATGAGTAATTTAAATAGTGATTCAAACTATTATGATATAAATGATAATAGAAAAAAGGAGAAATATAATTTGGAGGAAAATGATATTTCTTTTAAAAGAAGAAAAATAACAAGAATAGAAGAAATTAAAAATAGTCAAGAAATAGAAACAAATGATATAGAAACAAAGAAAACAGAAGTAGAAAAAAATGAAAGTAAAAGTTTTGATGATAATGAAAAGGAGAAAAATTCAACAGAAGTAAGTACATTGATCAAAAATAATACAGATAATACAGAAAGAGGTAGTTATTTACAAGATAAATTAGAACTTTTATTAACTGAAACCAAAAAATATACAGAAAAATTATCAGGACAACGGATAAAAATTAATGTACAATCAAAAATAAACAAAACTAGACGTTGTGTATTAACAGAGAAAGAAGAAGACTACATGTTGTTAAAGGAAGCAAGTGAAGAAGACGACACTATTATATTAAAGCAACCTGTAAGTATTAAAGGTATTATGAAACCTTATCAAATAGAAGGATTAAATTGGTTGTATCAGTTGTACAAATTTAAAATTAATGGAATTTTAGCTGACGAAATGGGTCTAGGAAAGACTTTGCAAACAATTAGCTTATTATGCTATTTAAGGTTTAATAAAAATATTAAAAAAAAAAGTATAATTATATGTCCCAGATCAACTTTAGATAATTGGTATGAAGAAATTAAAAAATGGTGTAATGAACTAAAAGCATTTAAATATTATGGTAATAAAGATCAAAGGAGAGAATTAAACAAAAAAGTATTGCACACAGATTATGATGTGTTATTAACAACTTACGAAATAGTTATTAAAGACAAAAGTGCTCTATATGATATTGAGTGGTTTTTCTTAATAATTGATGAAGCCCATAGAATAAAAAATGAAAAGAGTGTTTTAAGTTCTTCTGTTCGTTTTCTTAAATCAGAAAATAGATTATTGTTAACAGGAACTCCATTACATAATAATTTGAAAGAATTGTGGTCATTACTGAATTTTTTAATGCCTAAAATTTTTGATAACTCTGAAGAATTTGATAATCTATTTAATATATCTAAGATCAGTACTAATGATAATAAACAAAGTGAAATAATTACACAGTTGCATACAATTTTAAAGCCATTTATGCTTAGAAGATTAAAAGTAGAAGTTGAACAATCCTTACCACCAAAAAGAGAAATTTATATTTTCGTCGGTATGTCGAAATTACAGAAAAAATTATATTCGGATATCCTTAGTAAAAATATTGATGTAATAAATGCTATGACTGGTAGCAAAAATCAAATGTTAAATATTTTAATGCAGTTAAGAAAGTGTTGCAATCATCCATATTTGTTTGATGGAATTGAAGAACCTCCATATATAGAAGGAAATCATCTAATTGAAACCTCAGGAAAAATGTCTCTTTTAGATAAATTATTACCAAGATTAAAAAAAGAAAATTCCAGAGTACTATTGTTTTCTCAAATGACACGATTGTTAGATATAATTGATGATTATTGTAGATGGAAAAATTATGAATATTTAAGAATTGATGGTTCAACGCCAGGAGATGAAAGGCAAATAAGAATTAATCAGTTTAACGAACCAAATAGTAAATATTTTATATTTTTATTATCTACAAGAGCAGGTGGAATAGGTATTAACCTTACATCAGCAGATATTGTAATTTTGTTTGATTCAGATTACAATCCTCAAATGGATATCCAAGCAATGGATAGAGCACATCGTATCGGTCAAAAAAAAAGAGTTATTGTTTATAGATTTGTTACGCAGAATTCAGTAGAAGAAAAAATTGTAGAAAGAGCAGCAAAAAAATTAAAATTAGATTCTTTAATTATACAAAAAGGTAAATTAAATTTGAGTAGTAATAAAGATAATAATAAACAAGAATTGCATGATATTCTAAATTTTGGTGCCCCAGAAGTTTACAAAACTCAAGATGTTTCATCTATTTCTGATGAAGATATCGATATCATTTTAGCTAATGCAGAAAAAAGAACAATGGAAATAGAAAATAAATTGAAAAATCTAGAGAATATATTTGATTTAACTAATATATCTTTAGATGGGGGGTTAAACATGTATAATAATTTAAATAGAGAAGATGAATCTGAAGAAACTAGTGATGAAGACAATTCGAATTCTGTTGAAGATTCATCAACTACGAATTTAGATGCTGATAGTAAAAAAAAAAAAAAAATGAACAAAATAAGGAGTACTATTAAGAAATTTTTAAAAAATAATAAAAAAAATATAACTTTTCTAGACCTAGGAGAAAGAAAAAGTAAATGGAAAGTTATAAATAATGGAAATAGTAGATTAATTAAAAAAAAATTGAGTCTTCATGGATGGAAAGCTGAGGCTAAAGGAGGACATGATTTTCAATTTTTTAATAATGAAAGATTAGATGAGCTAGAACAGATTGAAGAAAAATGGAATAATTACCATAAAAATGAAGAAAAAATTAAAGAAATTATTGAAGCTCAAAGTGAACAAGAGGATTTTAAAAAAATAGTTACTCTTAATGAATTTTTAGATATACATGCAAAAAATATCTACCAAATTATTAACCTGATAAATCCAAACATTTTGGATGATAAAAATATAGAGGAAGAAAATAATAATATTGATACAAATGATTTTAAGAAAAAAATAATAAATCTGTTTGAATCAAAAAAAAAAATAAATATCATAAAATTCAAAGATAAAAATGTAAAAAACTGTTATGACTATTTAACCAATTTTATCAGAAAACACATTGCAGATACAAATAACGAAAATAACAATAACAAAAAGATGAAAAAAGGAAAGAAAAACAAAAAAAGAGCAGAAAATGATATATCTAACATAGATATTGATAAAATTAAAATAGAAAAACAAGAATTATTGCAGCAAGGTTTTTCAAAATGGAATAAAGCAGAATTTAATAAATTAATGAATGGATTAATTATTTATGGTAGTGATGATATTGAATTTATTTATGAAAAATATTTTATTAAATCTAAAAAATCATTGGAAGATATTAAGACTTATTTGAAAGTCTTTTTTAAAAAATATGAACAAATTAAAGGGGTAATTTTTTTTAATTACATAAATGTATAATTATATATATATATATATATATATATATATATATATATATATATATATATATATATATATATTTATTTATTTATTTATTTATTTATTTATTTATTTATTTATAAATATTTATATATATTTTTTTTATTTTTTTAAGGGTGTAAGATTAATTGAAAAAATTAGGAAATCTGATCTGCAAAAAAAAATAGTGCAAGAAGAAAATGATGTGATTGCAAATTTTGTAATTATAAAAAAAAAAAAAAAAAATGAGAATATATAAATTGTTTTAATTAAGTCTGATAATAAAAAAATATTTATATATTTTTATTCTCTGTAGGTTGAAAAACAATTATCTGAGGGTGTCGATACAATAGAGAAGTTGAAGTTGCCTTCTAATTTGTGTTATGAAAAAATGGAAAAAAATGAGGATATTTCAAGTTCTCCCAAGAAAACTAAAGTAGAAGATAGTAAAATTAATTTAAATGAAGAAGATATTTCATATTATGATCAAGAAAATAAAATACTACTTTGGTTGTTATATCAACAAGGAGTAGTTCAGATTAAAAATATTCATATATTGGTTAGCAAAAAAAATATAAAAATAAGAAATTATCTTTATATAACTTTTTATGAAAATATATAGATTTTATTATTATGTTTGATACATATATATTATATTACAAAATGTTCATTTATAATTTTTATTTTTTGTTTTGATATAAATATTTTATAATATATTAATTATTCAGGCACCTTACTATTGGCCAGAGGCTTTTAATTTTTTTAGATTTGCAAGTACATCTTTAGAAAAAATTGAATACAGATGTAGATTGATAATTGATGCTATTGTTAACTTAAATAAAAAGGTAATAATAATAATATGTTAAATATATCATTAAAGATTAATATAAATAATTTGAAAATTTTTATTGAGTATCAATAATTAGTATTTTTATATTTTTAATATAATTCATTCAAACAATAATTAGAATTTTAAGATCTTTTTTTTTTTTTTCTTTTTTTTTTTTTTTTTTTTTTTTTTTTTTGTGTGTGTGTGCAGCTTATTAATATATTAATTTTTTTTTAATTTTTTTACATAATATTATTTTATTTTATAGAGCTCCAAGAGTACAAATAATAAGGAAAGAAAAAGATTTTAAATTAATCAGTATAAACAAATTTTTTTAATACATGAAGTTATTTGCTATAAAAATTTTTAATTTATTTTACATATTTATTTTATCATCTTTTAATAACCGTTCTTGTTAAATAATAGAAAAAATTGTGTATATTTTTTATTTCTTATATTTGTGATATATTCAATTTATTTCCTCAGTTTATATTATATTTTTTTTACCCATTATCTTTTTTTTTTTTTTTTTTTTTTGTTCAAGATACTTCTATAGCTCTCATTTATATACGTGTATATATATTTATAAATATATATATATATATATGTTTATATATTTTTTTTTTTCTAATTTTTTTTCCCACTTTTTAAATTGTCAATTTCGATTTTTTTTTTTTTTTTTTTTTTTTTTCCCAAAATTTTTGCTATGGTAAATTTCAATTTTTTGTCATTTAAGTTGTATAAATTTTTAAAATAATAAATAAAAAAAATGAAAGTGAAATATGTGATAAGAGCAAATAATAAAAAAAAAAATGTTTTACTCCTTTTAACAATAACTTGAAGCTTTTTTACATAAAAATAAGAATTAAATTTAAAAATTAGTACTCAAAATAGTTTTTTAATAATATATACTTAAACTATAGCTTTTTACTATTTTTTTATATTTTTTTTTTTTTATAAGTAAAATCTTTTAAATATGTCATATTCAAAGAAGAATGATAATAAAAAACTTATAGAAAAAAATGTGTATAATTATGAATTTAATTCTGATATTCAAAAAGATATAGAAGTAATACAATCGTATACGTTGGAGATATCAAACATTGTAAGAAAGATTCTCAATATTTAAATATTTATTTTTATCTTTCATTACTTAAGAAAGAATTTTTATTTTATATTAATATATATATTTGTATTTATTAAAAGAATTTTTTTTTTTTTTTTAATAATATAGAGTCAAAATGAATTGTGTTCCATTGAAAGTTCAGAAAAAGTGTAGGAATAAAATATCGAAAAAGAAATAAATATAAAAATATAGGAGATAATTATATATATATATATATTAAAAGAAAAAAATATATGAAATGTACAGTATATTTAAAAAATAAACAAAATAATAAGAAATAAAATTAGAAAATTTAAAAAGAAAAATTTACCATTTAATGTTATGTATTATCAGTTTAAATAAAATGAACATAATTTTTGAATAAATTATTTAGAAAAGAATTTAATAGGATATTATAATTCTTTTATTGTAATGAATATAAATTTTAATATTATATTTTTATAGGCAAAAGATAGTACAACAAGGGAAAATAAAAATTCAAGAGATACAAAAGAAGTTGAAGAATTGTTCTAATACGGAAGGCTTTTCACAGAATGAAAAAGTATGCATTTAAATTTGTACAAAGATACGTACGTATTTTTTATTCTTAATTTATATAAATAATGCAATAACGAAATAATAAAGAGAGATAATTTTTATGACTTTTTTCTTGCAAAAAGAAAATCTAAAAATGGACAATATATATATATATATATATATAATTTAAAAAAAATAATATTTTTAGATCAATATATGTTATATATCCGTTAAAAATTGAAGGAATAAAAATATATATTTTGTTATGATATATAAAATTAAAAATATATTAATTTTTTAGTAATATTACATCAAACATTTTGTATTTTTTTTGGTAAATTTATATATTTTTAATTTGTTTTTTTTTTTAATTAATAAGGTACGGAAGAAATTGATGTTGCAAAAATTATCAAATTCCTACATGAAAGCTATAAATAATTTTCAAAATGCTTCAAAAAATTATATAAATAAAACTACATTAAAATATTCTTATCCTAACAATTTTAGCACCCCAGATGATTTAGAAGGTTTTAATTCATTTAACAACTTTTCAAGAAATAGTAGTTCTAATTATGATTCTAATCAAGATAAGTTCAATGTTAATATATATGATTATAATTTTTATGAAAATAAATACGAAAACACTTATAATAGTTACAAAAGCAACGAATTTCAAAGCATAGACAGCAGAATTGAAGAAAAAAGAAAAAAAAAAAAATATAAAAATAATATATTTACAGGAAATAAAAAAAATGAAATTAATGAATATTTATTGCAAAATGATACTTATATAGAAAATGAAAAAGATAATAATTATCCTCAAGAAAAACAGTTTGTATCCGTAAAAACAGTAGATATTGAAAAGGAAATATTAAATCAGAAAAATAGAGAAATAAAAAAATTACATAAAGATATAATAAATATTCAAGAATTATATAAAGAGTTATCAGAACAAATAAATATTCAAGGAGAGAATATTGATAATATTGATTCGCAAATAATTAGTACGCATGATAATATTATTATGTCTGGTCGTGAGATTGAAATAGCTAGGAATAGATATTTTCGCAATTTTAAATGTATGTTTTATATTTTCATTGCAATATTAGTTTTGATAACTATAATTTTAGTTGTTCTTAAAGTAATATAAAATAAATGTTAGTTGTAATAATATATATTTTAAAATAATTTATAGCAAAAAAAATTTTCTTTTGTTCATTATTAAGAAATTTACATTTTAATGCAACATTATATACTATATAATATTTTTTTTTCCACTATAAGTTATACTAAGAAAATAATGTTTCCTTTTTTTTTTTTTTTTTTTTAATTATTAATTTATACTTTAAAATAGAAAACCGGATTATTTTTGTATTCTTTTCTTTTTTAAAGTCTCAAATATGATTTTTTTTTTTTTTAATGTCTCAAAAAACATATTATTTAATTTTATTTTTAAGTTTTTTTTTTTTTATTATATGATTATATTTAATTACACACTATTTTTTCGTTATTATTAAAGTTTTTTTATATTAATAATTATTTATTATCAAAAAAAAAAAAAAATAAAATAAAATACTAAAGATGCAAAAATTCTGTGATTTTATTCTTGTAAAATAAAAAAATATATATATATATAATATTCCTTTCTTTTAAAAAGATCTATATTTTTAATTAAAAATTGAAAATGTTTATAGAGAACAATTCAAAAATTAAGCTTTTTTTTTTTTTTCTTAATCATATGCAACATAAATTCTAGCTTCAGAAAAAAATTTCAAAATAATTATGGTGAAATATCATTATTATTCATAGTTTCTTACTTAGGTATGATTGTAGAGAAAATTTGAAAATTTTTTTTATAATTTAAATATTACTTGGAAAGAAAAAAAGTTAATAAAAAAAAAAAAAAGGTTTATAAAGAAAATATTAAAATTAGTGATATCATTTATATTTTTTTAAAGAGTATGTATATAATCCTTATTTAGAAAATCAATATAAAATAAAAAAAAGAAAGAGCTTTGTAAACAAGGTTATATTTTTAAATTTTATGTTATAAAAACGCAAAGAATGAAATAAAAAAAAAGTAAAGTAAAATTTAATGACATAATATATAAAATATAATTTTTATTAACTGATCATATAATATCACCTTAATTTGTAAAGAAAAATATATATTATTTAGAAGAATGAGGAATGCAAAAATTAAATTAGTATTTTAAATAAAATATAAAGATTTATATGACTCTTTTACATATCAGTAAAATATATATATATATATATATATTTTTTTTAACATTTAAGTTTATATTTTTCAAATTAAATATTTTAATCGAAGTATATAATTTGAGGGAGGTTTTGTTTTTACATAATAAAAAAAATTTTTTTTCTTTTCTTATTGTAAATAAAATATCAAAAAATACACGTTTATAGAATGCCAACGATATCTGTTTATGAAGAAGAATTAATAGAAAAAATAGGAGAAAATATTAGTGAAACAAAGTTAAAGGATTTGTGTTTTGATTTTGGTTTGGAAATAGATGAAGTTGAGTATAAAAATGATAAAAAAATTTACAAGATAGAAGTACCTGCTAATAGATACGATTTGATATGTGTAGAAGGTTTAGGTAGAGCCCTAAAAAATTTTTTAGGAAATTATGAAAGAATAAAATATGAACTGCTAATTAATGATAAAGATTTATGCTTAAAAGAAAACCAGATAATAAGAGTTCATGAATCTGTTGATGAAAGAAGAGGTTATGTTGTGAGTTGTGCATTAAAAAATATGAAAATAAATGAAAACGTTTATAATAATATTATTGAATTACAAGAAAAATTGCATCATAATATAGGAAAGAAAAGATCAATATTAGCTATTGGAATTCATGATTATGATAAAATAAAGTTTCCACTAGAATATAAATTTGAAGAAAAAGAAAAAATTAATTTTACACCTCTAAATGAAAAAAATAATCTGAATGGAAGTAATTTGTTAAATTTTTATGAAAATAATTTAAATTTAAAACCATATTTAAAAATTATAAAAGATTTCGAAAGATATCCTATAATTGTAGATGCAGACAAAAAGATTATATCTTTGCCTCCTATTATTAATTGTGATCACACGAAAATAACATTAAACACAAAAAATATTTTTATTGAATGTACGGCTATCGATAAAAATAAGGCAGAAATAGCTTTGAATATTTTATGTTCCATGTTATCAGAATATTGTACACCTAAGTATTCTATTTATTCCTTTTTGGTAAAATATGATGAAAAACATGAGTTAGAAAAAGGAAGTAGCTATTTATATCCATTATTTCAAAAAAAAATGTTAAAATGTGATATTGATTATGTTAGGAAACTATCTGGAATTTCAGATATAACTATAGATTCCATTGAAAAATTATTAAAGAAAATGATGATATCTATAAATGTTATTGATGAGTTTTGTTTTAATATTGAAGTACCTTTTTATAGATCAGATATAATGCATTGTTGTGATATTATTGAAGATATTGCAATTGCATATGGATATGGAAATATATTACCTCAGAATAGTAAATTCTCTAAAAAGAATATACTAAATACTTGCTCTGATTTATTTAAAAATGCATTAGTTGAATGTGGATATACAGAAGTTATGACTAATACTTTAGTATCCAAAAAAGAAAATTATGATTATATGTTGAGAAATCATATGAGTTATGATACTTCTGAAATAAATATGGATGAATATAACCCTTTAGCACCTCCTGTTCAAATTTTAAATTCTAAAACATCTGAATACGAAATTGTTCGAACATCTTTAATTGTAAATTTATTAAAATTTGTATCAACAAATAAACACAGAGAACTACCATTACGTTTCTTTGAAATTGGTGATGTTGCATATACCTCTTATAACATGACAGATACTAATGCAGTTAACAAAAGACATCTATCTGTTATATTTGCTGATAAGTTTACTGCAGGGCTGGAAGAATTACATGGAATATTAGAAGCTATTTTAAAAGAATTTAATTTATTTAGCGATTATAAAATAGAGGAAAAAAAAAAAGAAAATATTTATGTTCGATCAGATATATTCTATAAGTTAATACCAAAAGAAGGTATATATATATATATATATATATATATATATATATATATATATATATATATATATATATATATATATATTAAATATAAATTTATAAATTAGTAATTTTTTGTTTAAATAACATTTGTATAATGTTTATTATAAATATATCAAATGATTTTTGTATTTATATGAAAGTTTCATTATATATGTTATGTATATATAAGAAACATTTTATATTCCAAAAAGTATTGATTTTACTTTATTTTTGAAATTTTTTTTTTTCTTACATTATTTTACTTGTTTTTTTAAATTTATTCGTTTTTGATCTTTTCAGATTTCTCTTTTTTAAATGAAAGAATAGTTGATATTATTTTACATCCATTCAATCTAAAATTTGGTGTGTTAGGCGTAATTCATCCAAAAGTTTTAGAAAATTTTTCTATTGATGTTCCTGGTAAAAATAAATATATCTAAAATATGTAAATGTATTAGTGTAAATAATTATATAAATATAAATGATATAAAATAATTATTATTTATTTTATTTTATTACTTTTTTAATTCTTTTTTTTATATAATTTTTTTTTTTTTTTTTAGTATCTACTATAGAGATAAATATTCAAACCCTAATGAATGCTTTGATTATGTGAAACATAGAAAGAAAACTTTATTAAATAAATTATATGAATCATTTTTTCGTTTATTTTTTCATTCCAAATTGTTTAATTTATCATTGAAATAATTAAAGGAAAAAAGATATACATTATTGGGATGGTATCTTAATAATTTTGCTATGAATTCTGATAAAATTTCTTCAAAAAATTTTGGTATTTTAAAGCAATCTAAATTCATATGCTCAACTTTTTTAAATTCAAAGTTATTTTTATTTTCCATTTTTAAATTAAAAAAAAAAAATAAAATAAAATAAATAATAATATAAATAAAATAAGATTAAAACTTAAAACAAAAAAAAAAAAAAAAATTAAATAATATTAATAAAAGTTTTTTTTTTTACTCTAACTTATTATTTAAATATGGTTTGTTTAAATAATTAAAATAGTAAGTGGTAAACATATTTGTGTACTAATATAAATACATATATAATAATATTAAAATTTTCTTTTCATAGTTTTTAAATTATTAGTCTATATTTAACAAAATCACAATTATCTTTCTGTTAAAAATAAAAATGTATTTATTATAGTGTATATAAATTTTTTATTTTGGTTTTTAAAATTGTCTTATCGGAATATTTTAAAAAAAATATATATATTTACGTATATAATAATAGAAGAAATGTGTATATATTATATATTATTTACACACATTTTTAGTGTGAGTTTAAAAAAAAAAAAAAAAAAATTGAGCCTTCATTTTTTCTATATTAAGCAGAAATAAAATTTTTTTCTTTTATTAAGAATATATTGAAATATATTTTTCGTTTTAATTAATTTAATTTTATTAAATTAAAAAGTTGATATATAATCTTAAATTTTATATCATATAAATTTATCATATTAATATAACAACAAAAATAATGCTCTTTGAATTATGTATTATATTTCTTAAAAATAATACTTCTAATTTAAGATAAATTCATATATAAAGATTTAATTTTAAATATTTG